TTTTGTTAGAGAGAGAGGGAGAAGAAAAACAGAAAGGGAGGAAAAGAGGTATTTGTAACGCAGGAAGGAATTTAGACATAGGAAGCCCAAGAGGAAGGTCAGAGAAACAATGAAATAAGAAACAGCTCATGTGACTGGAACGTAGTGGGAAAAGAGGGACTCGCCAGCAATGAGGCTGAGGAGATGGTCAATGGAAAATCAGAGCCTTCTCCACTCTGAAGAGGAATGTGAATTTTAATCTGTTGTAATGGAAAGGCACTGAAGGGTTTCCGGAATGGAAGTGGCGCCCTCTGTTTTACATAGTGGCTGTACCCAGTTTACATTTCCACCAGCAGTGAATGAGGCTCCTTTTCCTCAACCTCTCCAACACATGTTATTACTTTTCATGTTGCTAATAGCCATTCTAGCAGGTGTGAGGTGCGATATCAGTGTAGTTTTTTAAAAATATATTTTATTGATTTTTTTTACAGAGAGGAATAGAGAGTTAGAAACATCGGTGAGAGAGAAACATCAATCAGCTGCCTCCTGTACACCCTCTAGTGGGGATGTGCCCACAACCAAGGTACATGCCCTTGACTGGAATCGAACCTGGGACCCTCCAGTCTGCAGGCTGATGCTCTATCCACCGAGCCAAACCAGTTATGGCTATGTCAGTGCAGTTTTGATTTGTATTTCCCTAATATCTAGTGAAGTTGAGCATCTTTTCCTTCGATAGATGATTGGATAAAGAAGATGTACATATATACAGTGGAATACTACTCAGTCACCAGAAAAGATCAAATACTGCTGTTTGTGACATCATGAATGCTAAGGGAAATAAGTTAGACAGAAAAAGTTAAAGACCATATGATTTCACTCATATATAGGATATAAAAATAAAAGCAATAAATGAATAAATAAGACAAACAAACAGAAACTCATAGACACAGACAACAGTATGGTAGTTACCAGAGGGAAGGTAGTGGAGGGTAGTAAAGGATAAAGGGGTCAAATGTATGGTGACAAAATGATTTGATTTTGGGTGGTTGGCACACAATGCAATATACAGATGATGTACCATAAAAATTTACACTTGAAACCTATCTTGTTAACTAATGTCACTCTAACAAATTTAATTTAAAAAGGAGTGGCATCATCTGATTTATCAAAATAAACAAGAAAACCTTGATATTCACAATGGAGGATTAATCAAAAGGAATAAGAAAGCAAGCAGGAAAAAACAGGAGGCTGTGGCTGAGGTCCATGTGAGAAATTTTGTATCCTGAACAAGGAAATGGGGATAAACTATTGGCTATTTCTACCACTATTCCTAAAAAACAGGGTCACCCGATCAGCTTAATGTCATGATCATTATAATCTGCTCAGTAAGTAAAGTCCTATACAAAATATAAATTCACTAGGCTCATGTACCTAATGATAATATCTCTCACTAACATAGGATTAATTCTTCTCTACCTGATTTATGTTGAACAAGTGAGTTTCTGATTAATTCCTAAATTAAAACTTTTACTCTTCCAGAGTGTTAATTCAAAGATATTAATATTCTTAATTACTGCAAAGTTGCATTACTGTCTGTAAGTTTTCAAATTGGTATTTTGATTTATACATAAGCTTTTGATAAGATGGCTAGAATGACCCACTGCTACTGAAACTAATCAACTCTCAGTAAACTATTACTAACCCCACATTGCACTGACCTCAAACAAGTAAATAAGTCCCCTATAAATAGCAAGTAATTTTAGCAATATATACAAAATATTGTATGTTTAAGATCATTGGTAGTAACAATTGAGCATATGAAAATAACTTTATCATTACATTGAAATTGATTTACTTTTCTGTAGTTTAGGTAATATGCATATTTTTAAAATTGACTTGAGAGAGAGAGAGGAAGGGGGGAGGGGAGAGAGAGAGATTTGTTGTTCCACTTTTTAATGCTGATTATAGTATGTGTCCTGACTGGGGATCAACTCACAACACCTTGGCATATTGGGACAATGCTTTAACCAACTAAGTTACCCAACCAGGGAATATGTATATATTTTTGAGACAATAGTAGAAATATGCTATTAGAAATAGCTCCATGGTAGTGGACATAATACTACACAATAATTCGGAAGCACGGAAGTCAAGTTTGATATCTTCACCTTGCTGAATATAAGGGGTTGTAATGATCACTTAACTGTTTTGTGCTACAATTACTTCTTCTGTAGAAGGAGAGCATTAAATATGATAAAAAATTAATATCCAAGTCAGCCCTGTAGTCCCACATCTTGTAAAATGTGAAATATAATCCATTAGTGCAAGAAAGAAATAATAAAGGACACAAAGAGAAGAGCAGAGATTTGGTCATATCAGAATCTAGCTTAATTTGACATGAGTGAACTAGTCAGTTAGTCATCATCCATAGAATAATCTTTTCCCCCAAAACACATTCATTCACCTACTGGTACAATCAGGACTATTACTCTCAAAAGAGTAAAATTTACAAGAATAGATACCACAAATATGCATATGCATGAAATTTCATTTCTACCTTACATGGTAGGTGCTATGCTAAATAATGGCCATTATCCTCATTGTAGTGAAATCAAATAAACAAGGAGGATGATAGCTTGTCACAAGCAATTTGAAGAAAATAATCATGGTGCTCTGAAAAATGAGTAACATGGGGATTCCAGTTACCTTTTTATATTTATATCTAAGAAACTGATTGACTAGATATATCTTAGCTTGATAAAGTATAATATTTCTATGCTTTCATTTTAATGAGAAATAACTAAAATCATCCTGCCTGCTAAGTTATATAACTTACTAGTAACTATCCAGATAAATGTAAACATAGACTTTTAAATATCATATCATCCATACATTTGTTTACTTAAATAAACATTCATTGATTGTCTTCTTTGGGCCAGAGGATGAATCTCAGAGGTCATTTAATTTAATTCTCTCAATAAATACCTATTTTAAAGATACACTAAGTAAAAATATTTTTAAAAGTAGATCTGCCGGGGTTCTTGTCCCAGCATCAAGAAGGTTTCAGGAATCTGGAGAAGGGGCTGTGCGTAGATGACATAGGAATCCGACTAATAAAGAGTCCGGAGATGAAATATAATTTTGAAAGGCATTGGGGGTCAGAGGAGCTTAGCTAAAGGAGCTAAGATCCAGGTCTTAAGTCTAAGGTCTTAGGTTCTCTCCGTCCCCTGGACCCCATGCTTTTTATTAACACAACTTGTCCTGAGGCAAGACTGAGATATACACTTCAAAGGGTCAGAGTTTGGTACAGAGTCCATTGTCAGAATGGGGGAATTAGCCTACGGCTGTCCAGGTGTTTGGCCAGTAGGAGGCAATAACATGTAGATTAAGATGCCCTTTAACTGTCTGGCAGCCACAATCAGTTTCCTATTCAGGTTTGGGGAAATGCCTTTAGCCATTCCCAACAGGTGTGACTCAACCCTGTTGAGTCCCCAAGTCTCATCAACCTTTTGATGAAACTCTTGAAATTATGACATGCTGGAATTGGTCTCTGGCAAGAACACTTTTACAAAAATGCCCAGTTACTTAGTGGTGAAACAAGGCAAGGAATCTAAGCCTTCTTGAAATAGAGTAAGTTTCACTTTTTTTATTATTATTATTATCTGTGTTTTTTAAAACAATTAATGCTATTCAAAGAATGGCCAACTAAAAAGCACTTGTATTTCATGAGTTTTCAAAAGACTCACTGAAAAACTGAGTTAACTAAAATTGTATGAACTTTCTCAAGATGCAAATATTCATGGGCAGAATCAATGATATTACTTATGGGTTTCTGGAAGTTTGTGATTTAAATAAGAAAACGAAGATGTGAAAAGATGTCTGCTAAAGAGTAAAGAGAAGAGATTTTTTTTTCCTTGTCCTCATTGAAGAGAGTTGGAAGGTAATAACTTCTACTCTTCCAGTTAAATAGATTTACAGGGTACTTGATATGTTAATTGCTGTTGGAATCTAATTAAAAGGAAAATGGATAAAGAGTAAAAAGGCATGTAGTTTATTTATTGAGAAAGTTATGAGATTAAAATAGGCCTTTCAGAAATATTTGCAGGGGTTTGGGGCAAAAGTTAAGATTGAAGAGGTGAGTGAACATTTTGATCCTTGTTGATAGTAATAAAAGCTACTGTAAAGATCTAACAATAGATTTTGATTTTTTAATATTCCATTATTTTGAGACACACACACACACACACACACACACACACAATTTTCCTTTTCAGTCTTCCAATCCACATCCCCATGTAAATGGTCAAGATGGCGGGGGTAGGGGGGGGGAGAGCAGATAGAGAGATGGATGACAGAAGAGGTACAACAAATGAATTAGCTATCCTTCTTACTTGAACTTACTGTTAAGTTAATGAAAATATGTAAGACGAAATGGTGGGTAGCTTGTGCCTCTAAGTAGCCATCTCTTTAGATTTCCCACCTTCATCTTTTTAGAACCCTTATTATGAGTGAAGGAAACTCAACTCACTCCAGTCAATAATGCTTCCTGGCCAGAAGCTGGATTATGAGAGGATTCTAGAAGCAGTGTGTTCTCGGGTCCGCTGCTGCCCATGCACCACCTTCTCTGCTCTTCCTTAGCCCTTCCCATGGGCTTACAGCTTACTCTTACACCTCCGTGTGAGGTCAAAGACATGGGGTCACAGTTACTAAATTGTAGCTTTTCTCGGAAGTGAACAATGGTAGCCCCTCCAAAGCGACTCTGCTAACTAACCCACAAAAGCCCCTGATTCTCCCAGGCTTAGCCCTGAAGCTTCTGTCCCCCCAATACACTCCAGTCGCCCTCTAGGCTCTGCATCAGTTACTCCCTGCTTTTTTTAAAAAAAGAGTGAAGTGCTAAGCACCGCCTACCATCGTGAGTGGCCTGTCACTCTGTCCCGCTGTGAGGTTGTGATTTGCGGGCGAGACAGTGTCGTCTGGCCCCGCCCCGCTTCCCTTTGCCGCGCTAGCGGTTTTGGGTCTTCCCCAAAGGTGGAGAGTGGGATTTGGGCCGGCGGCGCTTGGAGCAGGTGAAGAAGCATTTTCATTCCGGCTGTGGCTGCTGTTCTTTCTTCAAACGTGGGTCCGAGTCAGGAAAGGACAAGCGTTCTTTCTTTTGCCGCTAGAGCTCCAGTGAGCTGCTGCCCAGAACCTAGGCACTTCATACATTTCATCTCACCCATTATTCCGCGTTCACTGTGTAAATCACCCGCACATGTGTAACCCCGTGAATGCCCCTCTGCTCAGTGCTCAGAGAAGGGTAGAAAGCGAATTTCAAAGGTTTGAAAGGCAGACAGGCCTCCGCCGACCGCGGGGAGCTGTCTATGGTGCTGAAGCTTTCCAAGCGTTTGTCTCCACCACGACACGGAGTTAGATTGCATATTTTCATTCCAGGCTTTCTCGTTCCCCCATGCCTTGGATAAGACTAATTTCAGGATCGTGAATATCTCTCCGTATCATGGCCCACGTGAGACACTTTCGGACATTAGTTTCGGGATTTTATTTCTGGGAAGCAGCACTGTTACTCAGGTGAGTCTATTTGTATTTAACAGCTGGAGAACTTATCTAAAAAGCCTGTGTACTAGAATGCAACCACCTGTTATTGATGAGACCAAGAATGCAATTAGAAATTGACTTGTTGAGAGCACCCCTTAAATCGTATTATTTTATGTCTAAAGTGCCTAGCAGTCTATCTATTGAGACCTCTGAAAACATGTAACTTTGCTCTATTTTATGAAAATAATGCATTTAATAACTGTCGTCTTATATTAGAGGCAACTGAGATTACCCTGGAAAAGTTATTTCCAAAGCCAAGCTTTTCCTTCTCAAATTGCTATTAGAGATTCCTTTTTCTAAGTAAATTATAAGTTGTGGGTTACTCTCTTTGGGGGAGTTAAAAACATTTACTAATTAGAAATGGTACATTGTTAACTTTTTAAAAGGAAAACAATTAGAACATAAACATTTATTAACCAGAAAAATTCTGAACATTGTTGATATATCCAGAGATTAAGGTAAATGAATAAAAAATAAATGAAGTTGTGCTATTTCTAATGAGCTTAGTTCAGGTAATACATAAATAAATCATTAGCTATGTTATATGTCAAGAGTAATCTTTTTGGAGAAAGTACTATAATAAAAACCCCATAGAACAATAATATTGCTCTATGACATATCATTTTCTTATCTTGTCCAGTCATATTTGTAGGCCTTATTTTTTCTTTTAAATTAATTTAAAGAGGAAATGAGAGTAGGCAAAAGATCAGATAATTTAACCACCATTCTTAAATGAACAATGTATAAGCAAGATACTGCGCATATAGATTTTTGAACAATCAATATAAATTTCATGTTATTATAATTTCCATCTTATGGCTCACAAGCTTTACAAGAGATTGAAATAAAATAATTTGAATAAGTTTTTTGTATATTGATTTCTATTGAAGTAGTAAATATTCTTTTCTGAGTTTCCAGATCAAAATTTCACCTTTGGACACCTTAGAAAAACATAATATATTTCATAAAAGCTACCTTACAGAAAGTTCTATTATTTTGATAAGCCTATAATAATAGGGACCAGTTGTGAAGGTTATTATATTATGAAATTATTGACTTTTTTAAAGAGGTTCAACCACTGCAAACCAGAATATTTTCAATGAAAATATTTTAATAAGACTTAGTAAATTTCTAAACCTTCTAATTGTCACAAATTTTATATGTAGTGATCAAAGCAAAGAGTATAGAGCTTTTTTACACTTATGGACATTTCATGGAAAGGAATTAATGTTATAAGAGAAATCATAATAACTTAATAGATATTCAGATTTAGGAAGCGTAATGTCAGTAACTAAAATATTTTGGTCAGTGTGGTCAGATTTGTATAATGGCAATTCACATATTTGTTATAATATATTCTCTTTTGGTTTTGTTATAATACATTCTTAGTTATGTATTCTTCATCACCAGAATCTCTGATTTTTGTCATTTTATTGAAATTCACAAAAAAATTGTATTTAAAACTCATAATCATGATGATAAGAACTTATCTTCATTAATATTGAATACTTTTAGTTAAAAATGTTTTTATGAATACTCCAAAAATGTAATTTCTTGAAAAAGACATACCCAGTATAGAAGTTTAATTGATATGTGTATTCTTCATCAAGTTTTTTCTTTCTCCTTTCATAAATTGAGTAAGTTTTCTCTCTATCTATCTTAGACTAGTCTTGAATGAGAGTAGCACTTTTTTATTCATTTACCTTCATCATTCTATGAAGAACTTTAATAATATACAAAGTGTTAAGTATTTTTTATTTTCAGTGATGGCCCTTGAATGAACATTTTCTAAAATAAAGAAAGTGAAGCTCCCTCTACTGAAAACATTTTATAAAATAAATGTGTTTATGGAAACTATTCTTTGTTCACTAAATCTATTTGTAATATACTGAGCAAAACAACAATAACATGTAAACTTAAAAAAAGTAACAAAAGTATTTAGTATTAATTCACAAAGATATCTTTTAAATTTAAAAATATTCTTTCCAGGGCAATTTGGAGGCAAAAATATCTAGAAACCATCAACATTTATAATTATACTAGGGGCCCAGTGCATGAATTCATGCACCTTGAAAGGAACTGTGGGCCGAGAGGCTGCAGTAGGCACAGGAGCAGGTCTCAGCCCACCCTCCGTGCCCCGTTCAAACCCACTGACAGCACAGAGCAATTCCAGCCAGCACCAGCAGAAGGTGTGAGCAGAGGCTGCTACCCCAATTGCCCCTCAGGGGCAGGAGGAGGTGGAGAAGCCCTCAGGGGTGAACAGGGCCTACAGCCACCACTCGCACCCACTGATGGCACTGAGTGATCGGGACTGGTGCCGGGCATGGGCAGTGGGTGCAAGCTTCGGCTCTGGTGTCGGCTGAGGGTGTGGGTAGGGCCAGCACTGGCTGTGGGTGGGAGAGGCGAGTGGGACTGCAGCGTGCGGGAGCAAAGAATTTTCAGGAACTATCAGAGGCTCGCCCCGATGAAGGCAACCAGTGCCCGCCTTGGTCTGGTGCCCCCACTCACCTGCTCCACCATCCCACCATGTTCCGTACTCGCCCCCTGGTGGTCAGCACACATCATAGTGATGGGTTGTTCAGTTGTTCTAACATTCAGTCTATTGGCATATTAGCCTTTTATTATATAGGATAATTTATGATTACAAACCTTTTTTCATAGGTTGTAAAAGATTTTTAATTTTTTAATTGAGATACAACATACATGCAGAAAAGTATACAAATGACAAGTTCTGTATGCAGGTTCACAAAAGTAATACACTCAAGTAAAGAGACTCTGATCATTGTCAGTGTAACAAAAGTCCCCACCCTGCTCTCTGCCACCACAGCATTCTTTCCCAGGAACTGTTTTGCCAAAAGATAATCACTACCTTGACTTTTTCAACAATGAATATGTTTTCCCTGCCTTTGAACTTTATATAAATACTCTTCTGCTTTATTTTTATGAGCAGTGTGTTTATGTGATTTTCCATATAGTTGCATGTAGCAATAGCTTGTTTATTCTCATTTCTACATGGTATTCCACTATATGAAGACATCACAATTTACTTGTTGTTTTATTATGGAATATTTAAGTATTTTTTAAGTTTTGGCTAGTGCTGCGATGAACATCCTTGAACATATCTTTTTGTGAATACATTCATTTTGGGGATTGTATGGGTTGGGCCTAAGTCTTTCTCGAGAGAAAAAATTGTTGGATCAGGGGTAGTTTAGTATATATACCTCTTGGTTTTAGCTTGAGTTGATACTACAAGTTTTCCAAAGTAGTTGCACCTATTTATACTCCTGCCAGCAATGTTTGAGAGTTTTTGTTGCCATTACTACTACAAAATTTGATCAGTGCAATATTATTTTAAAAATGTTAGCATTTTCTTAGATTATTATTGTGAGCCCATAAATGATATTTTAGTTATTTTTATCTTGGCATGATTTCTACTTTTTAGTAAATAAGTTTTATTAAGGCAAAAGCATCAGCACAAAAGTATTTCCTACTATAATACAACTAGAAGTATTTATTATCAGAACAAGTCTGGTATAAGAAATATAATTTTAAAAGGGAATTATTAAAAAGAATAGTTCTTGTAGTAAAAATAAGTGAGAAGCCTGGTTGGTGTGGCTCAGTAGTTGAGTGTTGACCCATGAATCAGGAGGTCATGGTTCAATTTCCAGTCAGGGCACATGCCCGAGTTTCGGACTCGATCCCCAGTAGGGGTATGCAGGAGACAGCCAATTGATGATTCTCTCTCAACATTGATGTTTCTATCTCTCTCTCCCTCTCCCTTCCTCTCTCTGAAATGAATTGAAACATATTTTTAAAAATAAGTGAGAAAATTATGTAAACAGACATAAGAAATTTGAATGCCTTATTAGTGAAATTTTTAAAAGTTTCACACTTTGCTCAGATATTGCTTAATTTTGGCACAATTCTTTGGCTTTTGGGTTCTAGTTTTCATATTAATAAAATAAAGAACAAGACACCAGTGTTAGGCTTTCTTTTAAATGTAAATAAGTGAGATTATGAAGAGCTTGAGGAAGAAATTTCAAAAATAGGGGAATTGCCAAAATTTTTTTTTAAATTAACTATTTCACCACATACAATTTTGTTTTTCATTTTTACAATTTGAAACCAACATAGGCCTGCCAGATAAATAAATTATGGTACATTGTATCAAAAGCTGAATGTGTGAATGTCAAATTTCATGATAATCACAAATAAGATGTTTTCTTGGTTTACCTCAAAATTTAAGAAAAACATTTTTGGCACAGAATTTCTTGTTTTTGCATTTGGTATGTTTTAGAGGGTGAAGAAACCCCTTTTAGTGCTGGTTCTATTTTCTTATGTAAGATATTAAATAAAAATATACTTCAAGGAATAAACATTAAGTATCAGGATTCTATATAGGTTTTTAATATTATGCTACACATAATATATACTTTTCCCCTTTATGTCTCTGGTGAGACATTTTCCCAAATATAGAAGGATCGTGGCCCAGTTTTCTAGTCAATGCCTCAAGCAGTTTGCCCTGCAGATTCAGAAAACAGCTTATAAAATATTTTCTCTTGTACATACTTTTTCTTTCCCTTGAACACACAACTATGTACTGAGGCAACTCAATGAACAAATATGTGCATCATAGGTAATATTAAGCAATGGGTACAATTTGCCTAGGAATGATTGAGAAACTACCATCTTTCCTGACATGAAACTAGTAGGGAAGAAACTACAAAGGTCCAAGTAACAAAAGAAAAACACAGCAATGTTTAGGGAGTATAGATTGGGAAGCTACCCAGAAGGCTTGGTACTTGTGCTGGATCTTCGAAGATGCTTGCTCCACAAACAGAAATAAGATATAAAGAAAATATTATATGCAAAGGAATGATATAGGCTTATAGTATGCTTAGGGAATGGTGATGGTTAAATTCAATTGAGGGAATTCCAATTTATAGTTTAAATCATATTTTAATGGCAACAAC